TTATTGCTTGAGTAACAGCAATTGTCTAGAGTAACGATAAAATGACTCAGAACGTTCGTATTCACCAAATCATGCACGATTACAATTTTACGTTCTGTTTAGTTTACCGTTGGCATCTCTCGGACTTTTCTGCGCGATAGCGCGAGACATCTATCATGGTGCAGTAATGCATATAGTCGCACCGCAGAAATCAGGTCAGAGTGTAAACACAGACATTCATACTAGCGTAACAGATTTTAGTACTAATGCCGCGTAAAGTCTGTTATTAGAGAAGCTTGTGGATTACAGTCAGATAGTAACACGGGAATGACAATGACAGAAAGTGCTCGGAATTATTGACATAAAAACTAAATAATATTTACTCACAGAATTGCACGCCCTTTTGTTTTAATTATGCACTTAGTTTAAAGGCGCCATTGTGAGTGGTTGAGAGTCGCATACGATAAAATTTATTGCTGGTATGATTTGGTCAAATCCATTTTTTATGCTATAACTGCATAAAATCTTAGTGTTTTTAATGTTGGTGTAATCAGTGATATTTCCGCTGTCAGGTGAGACTATATTCAGCTATAATTTAGTTTTTCTGAGCAAAAATCTCGCAATAGTAAGTTTAATAAAGTTGAAGTGATGGTAGAAAATGATGAAAAATTGCTCTAAAAGTTGCTATAAAAAGCTGCTTGTCCAGCGGACAAGTTACTGGACAGGTCTACTTGTCCTCCGTGGAAATGGACAAGTGAAGACAACGGATAGCCCTTATTTCGAACACTGTTTACTATTACTATTTTGCCAGAAAGTATCTTCAAACACCACCTGACCTCTCTATCCCTCGATCATATACTGTATGAACCATAAGTGCTACTAGCAATGACAGTGTCACCTACATCCCTCCCCATCACAAACACAACACCACTGCCACCACCACCAGAGCCCAGCACCATCATCTCCACTCACCTTCTGTTTAGAGAAGCCCGGGTCGATGACAACACGACTCCGTCAATGGTGAGGCGACGTCTCGGCGATGTTCGTCGACAACGACGCACTTCCGTCCGATGGCGCCGTTCGCCTTTTTCGGCGGCGCTGCCTCGAAGATGCGCTGCTGCAGTGGTGAGGCAGCGTCGAGTATAGAGGGATGCAGCGCATCTCTCCTACGTCGGGCCCGAGGTTGTCCAGCTCACGCTTCATGCGCTTACACGCCTCCTCTATCTCCTACAGCACGGAAAACACGAGAGGCGCGTGAGGCAACGCGACACACGTGAGGAAATGTGAGATATCTGATGGAGGCAATGTGAGACATGTGAGACATGTGAGGGAATGTGAGACACGTGAGGGAATGTGAGACACGTGAGGAAATGTGAGACACGCGAGGCAACGTGAGACATGAGGGAATGTGAGACATGTGAAGTAATGCGAGACATGTGAGGGAATGTGAGACATGTGAGGCAACACGATACACGTGAGGGAATGAGACATGTGAGGGAATGTGAGACATGTGAGGCAACACGATACACGTGAGGGAATGAGACATGTGAGGGAATGTGAGACATGTGAGGCAACGCGAGTCATGTAAGGGAGAGAACGCGAGACACGTGACGGAAGCAATGTCAGACACACAAGGGAGGATCGCAAACAAAATTAGTCTCAACATACTAACCTTTTCTCGTATACCTGACCTCTATAATACACTGCACATAAGAAACTTGTAACTTGACAACAGTAACTCGTACTTTCTGTCAACCGTCTACGCGACAAGGTTAATGTTAAGACTTTGCTTGTTTCTGGCAGCGGCCCCTAAACATCATCTTCCCGCAACCACAGCAAGCTAAGATCAGCCGGCGATGCAATGCCAGCCGCAGCGAGCCCCTCCCTTCGCACCTCCTGTCCCGTCAGGAAGAGCAGGATGTCTCCCTCGATCTCCTCGCACATGTGTATCTGGATGACGGTGCGGATGGCCGCCTCTAGGTAGTCCCGTTCTGGCTCCGGAGTGTAGAAGATCTCGACGGGATGCGTCCGGCCGGGTACGGTCATCAGCGGCGCGTTGTCAAAGTAGTGCTGCGAGAGAGAACGACAAGGAGGGTGAGCGAGCGGTTGCCATGACGACGCGTGCCTACCATCGCTACGACGACGCACGGCGACCGTCGCCACGATGACGTATGACGCAGCCGCGACGACGCATGCCTACCGTCGCCATCACGACACACGCCTACTGTCACACAGCTTCTAAACGTTAGAACAGCTAAAAGCCTTCAACAAAATTAATAATAACAAGATGTCGACAAAAAGAACGGTGCCACCTTCTCAGGAAACCTTCAGACGCAGCGACGAGGAGGCGGCTTAACGCCGTCGTCGTCGGCGACGCATCCACCCGCGCACGCACCTGGAACTTGCCGGCGTCGAGGGTCGCGCTCATGACGATGAGCTTGAGGTCGTTGCGCTGCCGTATCACCTCCTTGACGAGGCCCATGAGGATGTCGGTGGCAAGCGTGCGCTCGTGAGCCTCGTCGAGCAAGATGGCGCCGTAGTTCTCGAGCAGCGGGTCGGACATCGCCTCACGCAGCAACATGCCGTCAGTCAGGTACCTGCGCGACGACGCGTGCGCAAAACCACAAGCGTTGAAGTTATTACGTGACACCGTAAAGAATAAAAGTAAGAAAATGATGTCCACTTTTTCACAGAATGTAAGTGATTCTGTTCATTTTTTATGGTTAAATTGCTGCACTATACTTCCTATTTTGCTATTTCGTTCGATGTGTGTGAACAAACACTCGTGACTCATACATAGCCCATAGCAAGCATTTCATGTCGTGATAAATATATCAAATTGCCCAGATTTTTTTAGAATTTTAAATAGTTGAATTAAAAAACAATCTTATCAGGTAAGAATTTGAGGATACATTTAGTGTTGTTAGTAGTCACTACTTTTCATGAAAAAAAATTGCAACAAATTTTTTTACAAATATACACCATAGAAAATTCGCGACGTAGTCAATTTAACCACAACCGCATCGCCCGATTCCTCACAGCAAGACTTCATTATTAATACAAATAATAGATGAAAGTGCTGGAGATAGCAGCAGCCGTGTCCGCGACTGGTAACTTTTAAGCAAGTCTGGCTTTGCAAAGGTGAAATCCCTGCTTTAAAGTAACCATTGCGAGAGTTTTCCAGTGTTTTCACCACTTTCATGACACCTACCGTTATTGCTTGAGTAACACTGCAATTGTCTAGCAATTGTCGAGAGTAACAATGAAATGTCTTAGAACCTTCGTATTCACCGAAAAAGTGCCAGTTTCGAACTACTAGTTTTTGTAAACTATCGTTTCCTGTCATCTTGAACTAGCCGGAAGTATGGATTAGCTTGTGGCGCCACCGCTTATCTGCTATAGACATAGTACAGGCTCTCTCAAAACATGCACTTGTTTTCGATTCATCACCGACACAAATACAAGTTTACCAATTCTGCCATTAGGCATTATCGGCATACGATAGATTTATTGCTGTTACAATGTGGTCAAATCCATTTTTCTATGCTATAACTGCATAAAATCTTAGTATTTTTAATGTTGGTGTAATCCATGATATTTCCGCTGTCCGGTGAGACTATATTCAGCTATATTTAGTTTTTCTGAGCAAAAATCTCGCAATAGTAAGTTTAACAGCAAATGTATAAAATTTTCTCCAAACACTGTAGAGGGTCAAACGTATTGTGTCACCCTGCGTACATTTAATTACAAATATTCCAGGAGGAGCGACTAGAGGACCAATCCCATGGAAACTACCAGAAACCGACAGCACCATTCATCAACCAACCGCAAACTCACTTAAGCCGCGTTTTCGCCGATGTGCAGTCCTCGAATCGGATACTGTAGCCGACCTCGTTGCCTAGCGACACGTCCATCTCCTCGGCAACGCGCGCGGCAACGCTCATGGCGGCGACTCGTCGAGGCTGCGTGCAAGCGACGCCCTTCTTCCCGTGGAAACGCGTGTACTCCATGCACCACTGAGGAATCTACGCACGCAAGACACGATAAATGTGACAACAACGCGCACCGGCATTCTAGGCAACGATGAACATCAGACATACATGTATACATTACGCACCACTTCGGAATCTCCGCAACAGGAAATATGACGGTAATGGGGGCTGACATACCTTGCATCGATCCAGATGGGAGATATATATACACATGTATTATGTAGTGCCTGCGGGCATTCGCAAAAATTTCACATTGCGTGAACAGCAATATCGGCCTGCAGCTAGAACATGAGACTAGCGAGATTGATCGCACTTAACAGCCAAACGACTATGACATAAGCACTGGTCAGGTTTCTAGTGGTGTGGGATTGCAAAATTGTGTTGCACAAGTAATAACGAAGGGATACTGTTTTCTATGTGTCAAGAAAGAAACTACGTGTAGGATAAGATAAAGCTAATTAATACAATAAATTTGTTCTACTATTTATTACATTTACTACAGATTATTATTTACACATTATGCATAGGTATATCAATTTTTTCTCTCCCCATAATCTAGCAAGGCAGCCCCCCCCCCACCACCACCACCACGTCCAGCGGAGCTATGTCTACTGGAGTGGCTTACTGGAAGGAAGACTGAATTGTCATTTTGCCCTCTATCACTTCTATTCATTTGTTTTAATTGTATTAGCATTGCCTATTAACTTGCTTAACTAATTATGTTACCTCCAAAATGCAATTCATAAGTGTAAATAAAGTATATTGAATAGAATTGAATTGAATATGTCCCTGCAGCAACATGCATCCTGCATCGTGCCACAGTTACACAGTAGCTCGTGATCTCCCGTTACCTGTGTCGTCTTTCCCGAGCCTGTCTCTCCCACCAGCACGACGCACTGGTACTTGTCAACCATGTCCATGAAGCTAGCCTTGTACTCGTTCACGGGCAGCAGAACACGCTTCGCGTACAGGTCGTGAAAACGCTGCGTGTACGGCAGATTTGTGAAAGGGTTGAGCGTCATCGGAACCTGTGCACCACGACGAGACAACACAAATGCGTTAGAAACAATATTGGCAAACGTAGGGCCACAATTAAAAAAATATTTGTTTGCCCTCACCCAACCCAAGCTGAAAAGTTTGGGTAGGTAGGTATTGCCTACAGATTTATATAATGTACAGTGATACAATTTGTAAAAAAAATGGGAAAGATTAATAAATTTTGTTGAGTCTGCCCCTTTTTGGCGGGTCGGTTGGGTGAGGGCAAACAAACAATATTTTTATTATGGCCTAGGGTGGTAGAAAACAAAACGACATGCCAACCCTGTAGTCTGCTGCCTGCAGCAACCATTTAAAAAATGTGCCTGTTGCCGCTTCATGCTGTTGACAACAACAGTAAGGCACGTAATAGGATGACTATTTACAAACATCCTGTTAACACGTTCAACGCGAAACACGAGTATACTCGTTCGAACTTGCAAAACGCACGGCCGCGAAACACGAGTATACTCGTGGCAAAAAAAGAAAAAAAAAAAAAAACTATGTTTACTATGTTCTCCTATAGATGGCAGGGGCTATACGCTTAGCAATTCAACAGCGTCAATGTATAAACCCCAGTAGTAGATGACATAATTTAAACAATACTTTACTGTTGTTTGGAACGTTATTTTAGGAGTTTTTGGGACTGAGGTAATGTTTTTAGTTCACCTCGCCAAAGGGCGTTTGACCGCCGTGTTTTGTGAAGTTGTTTTTATGTCTGAAAGTTGTGTTTGATTTGATACATCACCTGTGATAGATTCCGGTGTTGTTTCGATGTCTGAGAGTAAGTTTATATCTATATTGTACTAGCCACTAATTATAAATAATTTTATAGCTAGTTAAACCTGCCAAAAACATTTTGTGTAATAGGTGACTAAGCGGTAAAAACGCGAAAATCTCAGCACAGGGCGGTAGATGCATTGTTAACCCAGGCAGCGTTGAACGTGTTAATAGGTCATATCCTAACAACATGTTTAGTTACGCCGTGTTTCTGCTCTTTAACGGATAACTTTGTGTGACCTTGCTTATAACACACTTGAGAACAAAGAAAGAATAGACCGAGAGGCACGCAAGTAGTTGCACTGATCACGGCTCAAATAACGTCCTCCTCTATAGCATACGATACATTGCATCTTACTATGCGTGCTCACTGTAAATGCTCTATTGAAAAGAAAATAGTGCTAAAACAAGGTGGCTAGATGAATCCTTTTTTCACACAAATTAGAACTGATACATGCGATATATTCAATGTCTTTTACTGCCCAGCCTTCCACGCATATACCAATGTCAAATTTTTGTCAACTTATAACAAATAACTACGTAGAACTTACTGGCAGGGTTTTAAACGACGGGATAACGTCCTTCTTTATTTCTCTTTTATCATCGCGTTCGGAGCGCTCCTTGTCATAATCATTGTCGCGATCTCTCCCGCTGTATTTATCACGGTCCCTGTAGCTATCATCGTAATCCCTGTTGGTGGCACATGGGAAACAATAAGTCGGTGGTTACCTGACGACTAAGATGGTGAAGTATTTGGGAAAGGTGATACTGCATCGCATATTTATAAGCCGATAACTGCATCACTGAAATAAAACCTATCACAAGAGATCAAGAGTTACCACTGTATATTGTGACTGTACTCAAACGCGTTTCCAGTGGTTTTCGCCAATGCTGTCATGTCTGCATTAGGTGACAGCAGTGGGGAACGAGAATGGATTTGTATGGAATGCCTATATTGGGACCCACTTTTCAAGCCCGAGCTCCATAGATTAGAACAGTATTCACTTCAATCACATTGGTTCAGTCAAAATTTAAATGCTAAAGCACATTTATTAAATAATGTTACATAAACTTCCAATATTAGGTTATTTAGACAAACATTTTCATATGGATATATATTTAGAAATATTAAATTCATGTCAAAAACAATAATCTGAGCCTGATGATTGCTTTTGATATGCATCTTCCTTTTAAATTCAGTTTCTTCATTTCTGTCATTCCATATATATGTACAAGGATTCTCTTCCTTCTTCTTTTAATTGTTAATTGTAAAATTGAAATTTTTGTACTGCATCTGCAATGTTGATCTACAGATTAAATAATCTTTGTCTCGCTCCATCTCCAGTAGGGTCTGTTGGATTGGAAGAGTAATCATTATAGAATAGAATAGCGGTTTACAGGAATAGGCCCGAGGGCCTGTATCCGGTCTAATTAATACATCAAACCTCAATTTTGTTCATAGTTCCTCGCGATGTTAAATGATTCTAAATTGGGTATTGGTCGTGGTATTGTAGCTTCGATATTATGAGTATACGTTGGAAGGTAAATTTCCATTGTATACATTACATCATGTGATCAGATCATTACATCATAACTATGTGACTAGTTAAGGTAGTCATATTGCAGGTGGGACCAGTGCCTGTCAATTTTGTTTTTGAATTCATTTATCGTTTTTGATATAACAATTTCTTCGGGCAGGGAGTTCCAATCGCTGACGGTTCTAAAGCTAAATGATTTCTTTTTGAGTGTATGATCTACTTGTCGTTTATACAGTTTAAGGCTATTGTATCTGAGACCTTGTGTGTTGCTGTCTAATTTTAGCCACGGGTATTGGTCGTCGTATTTTCCATGTAATCGCTTCCAGACCTCAATCATGTCACCCCGTCTTCTTCTGTATAAAAGTGATGGTAATTTTAACAGGCGTAGCCTTTCATCATACGACAGATTTGTTAACCCGGGTACTTGTTTGGTGGCATTTCGTTGTACGCTCTCGATTTTCTTAGTGAGACCGATTATGAGGTTGATGTTTTTGTCATTATCACTAACAGTAACAGTAACATTAACAGATGAGATATGGATAAACATTAGATACCAGAACAAATATCAGATACAGTGTTCTCTATTCATGAAGCACAAAAGCAAATGCGAAGTGGAACTGCATAAGATGACGTCGTGGTGGTAACTCTAACTCTTGTTTGTTCATTGAACATATCATAATCTATTCGTATTATACTATTAATCAATCAATGACCATGATCAGCATGCAGGCCTTTCTCTGTGTCTGTGAGGCAAGACAACTGCAGTCTGCATGTCATTGAACCCTAGTTGAGCTCATAGGGTCTATGTCCCCCAGGGTACTGCCGGAACGTACCTACCCTGGGTACGGTTCGGTTAGCTCTAGTACTATAGCCCGCTTGCATTAACTACCGCTAGCAGCGCTGCCAGCGGCAGTTAATGTAAGCGGGCTATAGTACTAGAGCTACGGTTCGGTATACCGGAACGTACCCTGATAACTATCTGTATGGTTAGGGTTAGGGTTAGGGTTAGGGAGTAGGTGTAGGCGACTCCCTAGACTCGTTAGTGGAGTAGGCAAGGTACGGTCCGGCATATTAGATAGTACCAGGGTACGTTCCGGTATACCATTACCAGACCGTACCCAGGGTACGTTGCGGCAATACCCTGGGGGACGGGGGCCGACCCTCTCAGCCCTAGTAAGTAGTTGATTGAATCATTTGAATGGTGACAATTACACACAGTGAAAATAGCGCTTACGGTTCATATAATTAATTCCACACGTGTTACTATTAGTATTAGCTCATAGTCATACTCATACTCATAGTCATAATCTGTCGACAACACGAGACCCATTGCCATTACTCAACATTGTCATTGAATTTGAAGCAAAACACGAACGAGAAATAGACGGTGATTATTTGTGACATCAAGTTCTATCAGTGCACCACGAACCCTGCTAAGAAAATTACTGTTGAATACTTACCGTCTTCTTTTACCAGAGTCACCCACATCAATTCTTTGTCGTTTGGTTGTCATGATGTCAATTGGTACGTATATTTGCCTTTGTGAGCTCGGCAACACACACGATTGACTTCTCGCACCGCATAAATGGCTGTGCGCTACCACGTTCCCATACGAACACAGCTATAAAAACCACGACATTATTTAAATATGAATAACGCAATTTTGTCCACTATATACGTACACTCGTATTATGATAAAAAATATCATTATTTTTAAATAGTACTATGCGCTATTATAGACATCTTAACTCTAATTAATCTTTTATCCACGGGAAAATCGTTCTTCGTTTCTGAGGTAGGCTATCAAGATGGCTGCGCCCACAGAAAGTCATGGATCTGAACACAGTGCTAAATTGCTTGGATTCCACGAGATGGGTTTGGATGACCGCATTCTGCAGGTTATTAATGTGTTTTTTTTGTAGAGTTATGATGGCGCGAAGCGTCGATGTTAACTTGGTTATGGGTTATCATCTTGGTCATAAAGCAAATAAATAGTAAAATACCCAGATACCCCATTTGACGTTGTGGCAAACTGGCAACGTTGTCAAAACGTGATATAACGGTGTGGCAACGTAAATTTGTAGACGTCACTGAACGTTGCCACGGCGTTGTGAAATAACGTTGTAATGTAACATTAGGGGCCCAGCTTATGCCTTATGGCCTGGGAAGCTTTGCCGCTCAACAGATTCGAGGCTTTCTCGAAGATGTAGACTTCTAAGTTCTACACACGACTTTTCTTTGAACTTCATCTCAGCACGGAAACAACCATGGCATAGATATCAGGAGTAGATAATAGGGAGGAGTGTGACATCAATAAACAAGGGAAATTCGTCATTTACTAGCCTTATAATACCTACGATTTACTACACGTAACTCATCCAACTTGAGCTCAAATCGGACACAGTACATTCGCCCATCATCGTACGAAATCGTTTCCTCGAAGACACCCGCAATCCGTAGATACAGCCTAAAACGTACGACACGATTCTCCATTCTCTGGCCATCAATCCAACCCATTGCGCGCCTATAATTCAAACAAAAGGCAGCTACCTAACGCGCTATTGCTAACTGAGCGAGGCATGTGGCTCGCTGGGAGATTAGGCATCAACACTCGGCGAGATAACCTTTGACCCGGTACACAGCTACACAGGCCACCTTTGTACATAGCTGGCATGCCTTCACGCACGCACGCCAACCAAATGATTAGCTCGTCGAGTGTTGCGTCGATCTCCAATCTCCCTGCGAGCCACAACGCCACATTCAGCTATCCGAGAGAGCAAACACAGCGACTGCACGCCAGGTTGCTGCCTTTTGTCTGAATTATAGGCGCGCAATGGGCGTTGGATTAATGGCCAGAGAATGGAGAATCGTGTCGTACGTTTTAGGCTGTATCTACGGATTGCGGGTGTCTACGAGGAAACGATTTCGTACGATGATGGGCGAATGTACTGTGTCCGATTTGAGCTCAAGTTGGATGAGTTACCCGTAGTAAATCGTAGGTATTATTAGGCTAGTAAATGACGAATTTCCCTTGTTTATTGATGTCACACTCCTCCCTATTATCTACTCCTGATAGGTATGGATAGGCTTATGATCAGCCCCACGGATCACTCTAGAGGATGACTCCAGCCTGGTCCCCGGAAACTCACGGTCGAACACTTGTCGCGACATTACAGATACATCTGCCCCTGTGTCCACACGAAACTTCACCTTCTTATCACAGACAGTGATAGGAAATGTCTACTGTGGGTCGCGACCTGACTGGTTGCCCACACTTACTTCTCCTAGGAAGACATCTGACGAAGCGTATGAACAATTAAGACTGTGTAGTTACTTCATTTACTGTTTTGGCCTTCCGACATACCTTCTCAAAATGCCCGTTGAGTTGGCATCGTCGGCAGTTCACATTTTTGGCAGGGCACAGAGAGCGATTATGAGCATAGTTTCCACACCATGGACACCTCTTCTGACCATACTGTGACGTCGAACGTGCAGACTTCTTCTTGTCATGTTGACCTTTGGCATGTACGGCTAAAGCTTCAGCACCGACGACCGTAGTTGATGTCAACTCTCTTACCTGGTTCTTTACCTGGGCTGACTGACGAGTCAGGTCTGTTGCAAGCTTCAGGGTTAAGTCAGAGAGATGCTTGTCTCGAATGCCAACAACGATTCTGTCCCTAATTAGCTCTTCCTTTAGAGTGCCGTACTCACAATGCTCGGCGAGTGTGTGTAGAGCAGTAATGAAGGAATCAATTGGTTCATCCAGACTTTGCACTCCCCCGTTGAATTTAGCTCTTTCAAAGATTATGGTATGGCGGACAATGAAGTATTCCTCGAACTTCTTCTTGACACAATCAAAGTCTTGAGACTCATCACTTGCTTCTGATACAGCAAATGTAAAGGAAGAAAATATCTCGTCTGCCTTCTCTCCCATACAATATATCAAAGTGTTCACCTGGTGCTGTGGGGATTTGTTGTCTAACCCTGAGGCTACCTTGAATCGTTTAAACCGCTTTATCCACCTGGTCCATGAGTTAGGCTGAGAGAAATCGAACGGCTCTGGTGGTGACACTTTGCATCTACAAATTCTACTACAGCAAATTCTGTCGTCTGAAAGATACAAATTGTTGACTTGCCAAAGTTAAAGACAATAAAATTCCACACATCATATTGCTCATTAAAGGGTTTGAATCAATTTTGCCACTTCCTCTTTGGAGTAGTAAACTGAAGTTTCCTACTTATAAATAATAGACTGAGTATTTAAACATTTTTTTTATGAAAGCCTGTTTCTATATGTATCTCCTGTCGTAATATCAGTAGGTTTGCTTGAATTCCAGAAATTTATATAATGTCAAGTATACACTTGGCTGAATACACTGTATGCCCATATTGTACACTTGTCAATTCTAATCATACACCCATGCAGTGGCAGTGACACATGACACACATGCTCATGATGACTGATGCTGCATTGCTGACGGCTGTTTCAATTTACATTGCAAAATATCTGCTAACAGTCCGACAGATATTTTCACAGCACTGGCAATGAGGAGCTTAATTGCAAGCGCCAGTTGTTAATTTCTCCATTGTACCATCAATAAAGAAATAGATTGTAAGACAATGATTGCGTAATTTTACAACTTGTAAAAGGTTTATGACTCGCCCTTTAATTTTTATAGGCAGTCTCAAAACTTGGCTGGAAAGAACCAACTCTAATACAGGAGAAAGCGATTCCTTTGTCCTTGGAAGGAAAAGATGTGTTGGCAAGAGCAAGGACAGGATCTGGGAAAACTGCCTCCTATGCAATTCCTGTCATACAGAAGATTCTAGATCGAAAACAGGTTTAATTATTATCTTATCTGGTAATTTAAATGTGCAAGCACATAACATATATACATTGTTGTTATGTATGTTCTCTAAGTAAATAACTATGTTTTAATAATACATATACCTTGTAAAATTTGAGATGGAGTAATTTTATTACTTTCAGGTAACGAGAGAGCAATGTATTAGTACGATTATTATGGTTCCTACTAAAGAACTTGGAGCCCAGGCACATAAAAATATACTAGAGTTAACAACAAGCTGCTCCAGGGAAGTACGATGTGTTGACATCTCTGGAAAAGGAGACCTTCCTTCACAAAGGTTTGCAGTTATACAAAATATAAAAAATAGTTCTGCATATACTTACTAACTCTTGTTTCACTCTAGGACGCTACACATCATTGGCAAATGTCAAGTAGTTATCTATATGACTAGTAGTATAGTAGTAGACTAGTAGTATAGTAATGTAGTAACAGTATCATTATACAGATTATGAATAAGAAATAAGCTGTATTTGATATTGGCGGATATTGACACAGAACTACCTACCCCGCTCTCTTGTTCTCATCATTTAAAATTCGTGTTCAAATGGTAATAGCTGTCATCTAATTTCGCTTACAGGCCGCTGTTGTCAGAGAATCCAGATATAGTTGTGGGAACACCAAGCAAGATCCTTGCTCACCTAGTTGCTCGTAACATGTCTGTGAAGGACTCTCTCCAGTTTCTCGTCATTGACGAAGCTGATCTTGTCTTCTCGTTTGGTTATGAGGACGACATTAAAGAGTTGTTGAAGTGAGGACATTCTTTTGTAGATAAGTCTATGATTTATGTGATATGATTGATAGTTAACATGTTGGAACAATATTATTATATATTTAATCTGTATTTAAGTATACTTTATGTATTTATAAACTTGTAAACAGTATTGATCAAAAATTGTGTCATACGTTTTTGGGTGGTTTGAGGTTTTTACCTGGCTATTTCTTACTGGTTCTGTGTATCTATCACTGTCTAATAAGTTATTGAAGTACAGTTCAGTAGTAACTACCAAAATTTGTTTAGTTTATTAAGTTAGCGGCTTTTTTGTAAGGAATTTTAATCATTTTATAAAGATGAGAAAGTCCTAAATGTAATGTATATATGAATTTTATGTGTAACGAGTTCATGTTCTTCATGGACAGACATCTGCCAAAGATCTTCCAGACATTTCTAATGTCTGCAACGCTCAATGATGACGTGAAAGCCCTTAAGAAGTTGGTTCTGCACAATCCAGTCATTCTGAAGTTGGAGGAGTCACAGTTGCCTGAGGCAGGCCAGCTTACACAGTACCACATCAAGTATGTTCTCATCTCTCTCGCTCTCTCTCTCTCTCTCTCTCTCTCTCTCTCTCTCTCTCTCTCTCTCTCTCTCTCTCTCTCTCTCTCTCTCTCTCTCTC